CAAGTCACCTCAGCTGGGATTTGAGCCCAGATCTCCCACAGAGTAGTCAGGAACACTACCATACAGCCACCACTGGGTCTCCATGAAGACCAGCCTGGGATCCCTGTGGGCAGGACACATTTGGCTGGGCAGATGGGATGGGGCCATGGGTGGGCATGACCAAGGCCAGGATCACAGGATAGAATCAATTGCAACCCTCCACCCTGTGCCAGGTCAGTACCCCAGTGCTGGGCCAGATCAGCACCCCACCCCTCTTCCCCCTGCAGCGGCTCACCAAAATTCCTTAAGTGGCCCTCCAGACCAAATAATTGCTCACCCCTGATTTAGATCGCTATTTTCCCATACTATGCCTTAATACACACAAATAACGTATACACCCACAATCATATAACAGTCAACAATGGAATTTGGAAGTAAATTTATTATTTTCAGATGCAAGAGCAGACCTGTTACGTAGTATCAGTGGCCCTGCATATAATAGATCTAACATTAAAAGATTAAGACCTAGACAGCACTGTCATGTGAACATGGGGAACATTTATACAACTGCAGCATCCATTACATCAAAGGTAACAAGGTCTGCCAAAGACAACCAATAAGGACTAGTATACTAAAAAGAAATGTCACCCTGACAACATCAGACAATAAGCTGAAATTTAGACTGAATAAGCTGAAATTTATGATCTTGAATAAACAATTGTGAAATTTCAAGTGTGCTAGGAAAATGAAAACAATTATTAATTTATTTCAAGTTACAAGAAACAATGACAATTATGTTTAATACAGTCTCCAACTAGTTATGGCAAGTCTACAGCCATATTTTCTCTGAAGGCCTGTTCAAATTATAGTTTTACAGTATCAAAACTAAGCTTTAAAAATATTAAGTTAGAAGACTTCATATTTTGTAAGAAGAAAAGAAGTACACTTACAGCCGTTCAAGTTGCTTTAGATCCTGAAAAGCTCCACGTTCTATCACACTGATTTGATTTTCTTCCAAATGCCTGTGATAACAGAAATACCGATTGTTAATCATAATAATAGAATAAAATATTATCTAGATAAAAAGTTCTCTCATTGCTTTTCATGTTTTTTAAAGTGAAGTTCACAGCAAATATCAGTTACACTAAAAGTGAGAGTGATAAGAGAGACCTCTACAGAATACAACTATTTGGTATCTTTCCATGATCACTTCTACCATTGTCAGAAGATAAAAATTGAAGGTCTAGAAAGCACAAAAAAACTGCTAAATTTCACATGGCTGCATATTGTATTAGAAATGATAAGGCTGGTAACCACATATATGTTTTTAAATTTTTATAACCCAAGCCAATTAATATTTTGTAACGGGTTTGTTTATAGGCCCAATTCTACCACCCCTACTCCATTAATTTATATATTCTATATAAGAATAGAGGAATGAGGCCTGCAGTTGACATCAGGTCATTAATGCATGGCACTGAATCAAGACCAAGCATTAAGACTACTTGTACATTGCATGTGAACAAGTTGTCAGACTTGGCTAGAAGTGGCTCATAAGTTAGTTGATTCCCACTCGTCTGAATTTCTAAAGCATGCAAATATCCAGCGGTTTGTTGCTACTGAAAACAGTCTATCTGCAGTATGAGTTACTGAAAAAGGTGTCAAAGGGCTGAACTCCTGTTTTCCCCACCATGTCTCCCACTAACTTCAACAAGACTTCAGAGAGGTGGAGGTACCAGACAACACTGGATACAGAACAGAAGTGGGTATGAGGAACAGCCAGACTCCAAGTACAAAAGCAGTCCCTCAGTAAGGCCTGAAGAGAGGGAGCACAGAAGCCAGTGGATCCTTTTAAGACAACTTTCTGGCTTCTTTTTGTGCTCCAAAAGTAGCTCCCCTGGCAGGGTATCCATTTCTTTGCTCCCACAGGAATGCTCAAGGCAGTAATAGATCTTAACTTCTCTCCTGTCACATGGATCTACTGGGGAAGTGAAAGGAAATAAATAAATTCTATGGTATCTGGGCAAAA